AAGATGTTTTTATTAAACTACAGCCTTTTTGGCTTAAGGCATCCCAGCTCCTTTCCTCTTAGAAGATGATGATGAACATCATAGGACCTCCAATTTGGAGTTCACTTCAACTGGGCAAATGCCCCTACTCTATCTGCAGACAATATGTTGTCCAAAAATGGACAAGACTTGGGTACAGGCTGAGTTGACTGCCTAGTTCTGCCAAGACAGGGTAAGAAAGTCCTTCATAGTTCCTGCTTCACAAATATGTCTGCCAGGTACACTGGTGCAGAATGTTGAAGATTGATGCTCCAACGTTACAGAGAGATTTGGGGTGACTGTCCAGGAAGCAAAGTGTCTGTGTCATTTTTATTTGTTTTGGAAGCTGCTTGCCTGCACTACCTGCTTACTCAGGTAATAATTTTATTTTTTTCTCAAGTCTCTGATGGGGTTGAAGACTAGGTAGTTACAGTCTTACAATTAAGCTTAGTTGTTTAGAAGTTAAGAAGATAGTTTAAGGTCTAAAAAGTTGTTTTTAGGTTGATAAATACAAGATATGATTGAGAATGATTTAGGTATAGAACTATAGAATCAGTAATAATTTATAATAATCCTCTACAACCAAAATATTTTTCTTTCTTAAATTATCACTAAAAATAGATTCTTCTCATATACAATATACCCCAAACACAGTTCCCCCCTCTCCACTTCTCCCAGCTTCCCTATCTCCCCTCTCCTTCAGATCTATCCCCCTTCCATTTCCCTTCAAAAAAACAGCAGGCCTTCAAGAGACAACAACCACTCATGAAAAAACAAAATAAAAAAAGACAGTACAACAGTCCTCATATGGCAGTTGGATAAGGCGACTCAATTAGAGGAAAAGAGTCCGAAGAGCAGGGAAAAGAGTCAGAGAAACACCTACTTCCACTGTTAGAATCCCCACAAAAACACCAAGCAAACAGCCATAACATATACATGGAGAACTTGGTACAGAGCCATGCAGGCCCCATGCTTTCCACCTCAGTCTCTGTGAGACCATATGAATTCTACTTAGTTGATTCTGTGGGCAGTGGTTTCCTAGTGTCCTCTCTCCCTTCCAACTCCTACAATCTTTCCTCCCCCTCTTCTACAGGGTTTCCAAATCTCTGAGGGTAGGGACCTGATGGAGACATTCAATTTGGACTCTTTCTCTCTATTTAAAATCTGACTGTGGGTCTCTGCACCAGCTCTCATCTGCTGTTGGATAAAGCCTCTCTGATGATGTCTGGCCAAGGCACTGATCTCTGAACATTACAGAATATTGTCAGAAACCATTGATTTTTTTTTTTCCTGTCATGTTTGGTTGGTTCTGTCCTAGGTCTCTGGGCTATTGAGTCTCCAGTTCCTGGCCATCCAGACAGAGTAGGGCATACGCTTACTCTTGTGGTGTGGGCCTCAAGTTAAACTAGACATTGGTTGGCCACTCCCACAAGTTCTGTGCCATCATTGCCCCGGTACATCTTACAGGCAGAGCAGATTGTAGGTGGAGGGTTTTGTGGCTGGGTTGCTGTCCAAGTTTCTCTTTCTGTAGCCTGCAGGGTACCTTCCCACACCAAAAGAGACCAGAATATGGGGGTGAAGGCACCAGCTCAACCTCTCTACATTCAGTGAGCCATGCAGATACTGTCCTCAGCAGTAGAGCCCCACTGTCTATTTTCAGAGGACTTTCTGTCCTAGCATCAGTCTAGGTTGTCTAGGGATCTCCATAGGACCTCCTTAGCCAACAACTCAATGTAATGCAACCTGGTCTCACCACTCAGAGTCTTGCCTGGCTACAAAAGATGACCAGTTCAAACTCAGTATCCTCCAAACTAGGAGTCCTCACTAAGGTCACCCTCCCTTCTCTCTTCCTGGGACCCACAGACCCTGGGGATGGAAGTCCCACCTACTGTCTCCTCTGCCCAGTCATAGGCTCTTCAATTTCTTTATTAATGACTCAGAGATAACTGGGGAGTGATTTTTTTTTTTTAATACAACATTGAGACAGGAAATTCCTCATTAGCAGTGACCATACCGGAAATCTGTTAGCATCTAGGTCACTGCCAGCTCAGCAATGAACAGTCCTCAGCAATAATCAATCAGCTGTACAGAGACATACCTTAATACAATGTGGTGAAGGTCACCTCTATGGGGCCATGCATTCCCCACTAGATCCCTCCTCTTTAGCTAACCGTTCTGGGTTTGTGGACTGTAGTTTGATTATCATTTATTTAACAGCTAAAATCCACTTATAAGTGAATGCATACCATACTTGTCTTTCTGAGTCTGAATTATAGTCTAATACTTGTTTTCATACTTTTGTAAGGACAGATAACTGCCCGATTTAAATTCTGCCGTTTTTAATAATTACTCAAAAGATGGCCTCCATTTTAATATTACCAAATCAAAATCGCAGCGGTACCTCACAGGCTAGTGTTTCTTTCAGCCTTGGTCAGACAAGTCTCTTTCTGAGGTAGGCTCTCATTAAAGCAGAGACTCACAACTGATCAAGGTGGTGAAGTGGATACTGAGTGCTCACCTCTAACAGGTCTCCTCTAACAACCCTTCCCCCGTAGGCCCAGGAACATTGAGAAAGAGGGGATGGAAAGACTTTCAGAGCCGAAGGGTGGGGAGGACTGCCATGAAATACCATCTTCTGTATATGACCTTTTTACAGATATCATGGACTCACAGTATGTATGACTATGTGCACAAAAACATGTGCAAACACACACACACACACACACACACACACACACGAACACATAGGTAAGAAACTAGTTTAAAAAAATAAGAGTAAGAAATCAGGCACAGTGGCACCCACCTGTAATCCCAAAAGTAGGGGAGGCAGAGGCAGGCAGAACTCTGTGAGTTCTAGGCTAGTCTGGTCTACAAAGCAAGTCCAGGACAACCAAAGCTACACATAGAAACCCTGTCTTGAAAAAACAAACAAAGCAAAAACAAACAAACAAACAAACAAACAAAAACCCCTTCTTATTAGAGTTAACCAATTCTTATACTCTAGGATGAGAGGACTGACAAAAGAATAAACAGAATCAACTATTTATATAAGGTATTTAAAATAAACGTCAATTAATAAGGCTACCATTTACCATATACTTCCCACTGTCTAATCCTCCCGGTTATCTATGCTTAAGATTTTTTTTGCCGTCTGATTTTGAGAAACCAAAATGGAAACCAAACGAAAGAAAGGGACTGGATAGATGGTTCACTGGTTAGAACTTTTCTTAGTTCGGGTTTCTATTGCTATGAGGAGACACCAAGCCCACGGCAACTCTTATAAAGGAAAACACTTAATTGGAGCCGGCTTACAGTTTCAGAGGTTTAGTCCATTACTATCACGGCTGGACACATGGCGGAGTACAGGCAGACATGGTGCTGGAGAAGGAGCTGAGATGCCTCCATCCAGATCCACAGACAGCAGGAAGAGCAATGGGCCACTAGGCCCCGTTTAGAGATTCTGAGACCTCAAAGCAATCCCCTAGCGAAGTAAGTACTTTTTCCAAAAAAAGCCACACCCACTCCAACAAGGCCACACCTTCTAGGAGTGCCTCTCCCCATGGACCAAGGAGGCCATTTTTATTTAAACCGCCACAGAGTACTTACTGCTTTCGTAGATTTACAGAACCAGGAACCCAAATGGATTTGGTTCTCTGTACCCATACTGGGCAACTCGTAAGTAACTGCCCGAAACTCCACATCCAATATTTCTGGTCTCTGTGGGCAGCCGCACTCGTGTGCAAATGTCCACACGCACAGACATAATTTTAAAACAAAACTTTTTTCTTTTTCTTTTTTTTTTTTTTTTTAACTGAAGAGAGAAGGCCAGGCTTAATGGTGTATGCCTTTAATCCCAGCACTAGGGGAGTCAGAGACAGGTGGGTCTCTGAGTTCAAGGCCAGCCCCGTCTACTTACCTAAGGAGTGCCAGGACAGCTAGGACTTCATAGAGACCCTGTCTCAAAACAACAGCAAAAAATCGTAACTAGCTAATGCCCTTTTTTGGGTGGCCAGCTGGCTTGGATCTTATTTTCACGGGACCCACTGAACTAGAAGAAGCCCTGAAACCCCACACCCAGAGAGCCATCTTGAGAGCTGAGAACTGAGTGCCTGGACACTGCCTCCGAGGACAGGCCCTTCTCTCAACCCTGGAGAAAGGAGTCCAGCAAGAGGTTGGGATAATTATTTTCCGTTAACCTGGTAGAGAAGAGGCGTGTGGAGATTACATTCATAGGAATACAGAGTCCAATAGTCCTTCACACCCTACTCTGAAGCCAGTAATTCCACCCACTGAGGTTGTGTTTTACACATAATGTTCTTGCTGTTGTCTGACGAACACGAGGGTAGTCCAAGCTTGATCCATCAAGCTTGTAACACAATTTTTTTTTAAAAAAAAAAAAAAAAACAAATTCAGGAAATTAGTAGAGGACCAAGAAACTACATAAACCAACTTCATGGTAACATTATATATAAGTTTCTCTAAAAGCAAAATAAGATAAAAGATTGATTTCCAAAACTCAAAGAGTACCCTCCGGAATGTAATAAATCATACTATAGAGAAATCTACCACTTGTTTATGGGTAAAGAGAACGAAGCATGCTTTTCTTTTTTTAACTTGTCATTGTGTTTTTAGAAAAGGGGCGCTGAATCACTACACAACAGCTAAACACCAGTGGACCAACAAAAGACAAAAAGAAAAAAGAAAGAAACAAAACCCTCCCAGTACATTCTGGAATGCTAACCAGGCCAATCTGGCTATCAGCTGCCAAACCTGCCCGGACAAGCCTTGGCACTGAGAATACAGCTTGGCAGTTTAGGGAAGGACAGTTCGGAAATGCTCCAATGAGAGCGGCTGAGAGATTCGGGTGTGGCTTCAAGGGGGCGGAGAATTGGCAGCTGGACAATGGGAAGTGTGCGCTGATTGGCCCAGCCAGCTTCCTCGGAGGCCATCCATCAAAAGAAACACGCCAATCAGCGGCGAAGATGCGTCCCCCGCGAGCTAGCCTGGTCCCCGACCCCTCTCCCCGCGGCCCTTCGCTCTGCGCTGACCCCGCGGAACGCAGCGCCTAGCTGGGGCGCTGAGGGTCCCTCCACCCGGGACGCCGGCCCCTCCCCGGGCCTCTGCTCTCTTGCCCGCCCGCGAGTCCGTTCCCCTCGTCGGCTTCTCGGATCGGGGACGTGGGCGAGCTGAGAGCAGGCCCGGGGAGGGTGGTCAACGCAGAGAAGACGTGGCTGTCAAGGTGAGAGGGGACTGTGGGGTAGGCGGCGGGGGCCGCGCGCTCCGGGAAGCTAGCCCGGGCTAGCCTGCGCTTGGAGAGGTGCAGCGGGAGCCGTGCTCTTGTCTGGTGCCTCCCAGTCCCAACCTGCACCCTTGAACCGAGTTAGTGGTTCCTCGCCGAGACCACTCTCAGCTCCTGTTCTGTCTTTAAATTGACAAGAGAACGATCGTCCTCTGTATCCAGGACTTAGGTTGTGCTCGGAACCCCGAGGAAGAGTACAATGCATGCTTAGACCAATGCTGTCCCCACCTTCGCCTAACTTTTTCTTTTGGTTTTTAAATGGTGTTAGACGGAGGAGCACCGTGTGCTAAGCACTCCGCCACCTTGAGTCATACCGTGCGTTATTCACAGACATTCCAAGAAACAGCTGTTGTTTCAAAGATGCGGACATAAGCTCATTATCTGGCGATAATTAAGCACCTATCTATGTGCTAAGCGGTTTGTGTGACTCCGCTTAAGCTACGCAATCTATGAGCTTAGGTAATAATCTTATTTCGACGTCACTGGTAAGGAACTGAGTAGGTTCACGCTGTTAATCTATATGGCAGAGTACGCACTGTCATTTGCCTTTTTGGTTTGGGTGTGTCTTGTGTGGCTGTGTCAGTTTGTGGCATGTGCTGACAATGAATAAGTCTTTCCTGAAGCTGGGAGTGTTTTCGTTTGTGTGCTGTACAAACTCACAATTTAGGGAATGTGACCGACTGGGAAAAGGTAGAAATTAACTTGCAGCCCTTTGCAGTGTCGTAGACTTAATGGAGGGAGGGGGCCATGCGCTCTAAAGCACTTCTTGGCACAATGCAAACATGGCCAGGCAGGAAAGCGTTCTTACTCTTTTTTTCTGGGTTTGTTCTATTTATAGATGATAGAGGTACTGACAACTGACTCTCAGAAACTGCTACACCAGCTGAACACCCTGCTGGAACAGGAGTCTAGATGTCAGCCAAAGGTCTGTGGCTTGAAACTAATTGAGTCTGCACATGATAATGGCCTCAGAATGACTGCAAGACTAAGGGACTTTGAAGTAAAAGATCTACTCAGTCTAACTCAGTTCTTTGGCTTCGACACAGAGACATTTTCCCTAGCTGTGAATTTACTGGACAGATTCTTGTCTAAAATGAAGGTATGTTTAAGCTACAATACACTATTTCTTAATTTTGTTCTGAGTGTGTTTAAGAGATCAAATTGCTCAGTGGTTAGGACTGCTGGTCTACCAGGCAGCAGTTCAGTTCCTAGCACCCAGGTGGGCAGTTGACAGACATCTGAGGCCCTCTTTTGTCCTCCTTCAGCACCTACAGAAATGTAGCAAACATTCACATATATACAAATTAAAGTTAATCAAAAAGGGGAAAAAGCCATCAAATTGCTGGTTTAGAGCTGGTATTGAAAACACATTTTCAAATATTATGGTAATGCTTTCTTCTCATAATCAAGAGTAGTAATACATCACTTATTAATTGTATACTGAAGTAGAAAATAATCCAGCATCAGGCAATTAATTGTAGTACTCTAGTAGGAAAGCTGGCTATATTTAAAAACCTTCCTTGGGCCAGCAAAATGATTCTTGCTGCATATGTCTTAGTCAAAACTGAGTTCTGTTCCTGGAACACTTAGTGAAAAGAGAAAACCAACTCCCAAAAGTTGTTCTCTGGCCTTCAGACATGCCCTCATATCCATCTCTCCCTTAAACACACAGAATAGTAATGAAAATAAAATTAAGGGCCTGTCATAATGGCACATGCCTTCAATCCTAGCACTTGAGAGGCAGAGACAGGCAGATCTCTGTGAGTTCAGGGACAGTTGGATCTATCATGTGTTCCAAGACAGCCAAGGCTACACAGTGAGTCCATTTCAAAAGATAATTAAAAAATTAGAAATCTTTCTCAAAAATGTTTTACATACATTTGTATGTTTGCATGTGTGTGGGCACAGTCATGCTACTTCCTATGTGGAGGTAAGAACCACGGCAGGAATAGGTTCTCTCCAACCACTGTGTGGAATTGAACTCAGGTCATTAGGGTTGGTGACCAGCATCTTAACCCAGTGAGCCATCACACTAGCCCAATCAAAACCTTTCTTGATAGACTGGATATTTCTATTCATCTACATATGTTCATAGATTTAAAGATGTTTGTTAAAGTCAGAATGTTAGGTTATAGTTGAGAATCAGATGTTTCTTAATCACGATCCATGTATATTATGGATCGTATATGTATACGTTCTAATTCCATTAACCATTTGGCATTTCCAGCGTCAACATTTCCTGCATATAACAGAAAAGGTAGCATTGTCTGAAGGAAGATCATTTATAGTTATTTCCCAGTCACTGACAAAATATTTATATGGCTTTTAAAGCTTAGCTGTTAAAACTGAAGCTATCTTCCCTACCCACTCAAAGCCACTGGTTTCATAAAGTCAAAGGCACATAAGACTTACAGCCTCCTGTCCGAGTAGATGTTAAATTTGTTGGAGCTGAGATATTTGTCTCAGATACGATGGATCTTTCATAACGATGGTTCAGTCCTAGGTTCTCTTTGTGTTCCTTTTACTGAAGCATGGTAAAGACGCACTGCTATTGTGTTTGTAGGTACAGGCAAAGCATCTTGGGTGTGTTGGACTGAGCTGCTTTTATTTGGCTGTGAAATCGATTGAAGAGGAAAGGAATGTTCCACTGGCCACTGATTTGATCAGAATAAGTCAGTACAGGTTCACAGTTTCAGACTTGATGAGAATGGAAAAGATTGTGTTGGAGAAAGTATGTTGGAAAGTCAAAGCTACTACTGCCTTTCAATTTCTGCAACTCTACTACTCACTCATTCAAGAGAACTTACCATTTGAAAGGTAAATGAACTTTGTTTTGAACAGCAACAAAAAGGTTCAGAAATCAAAGGAATACTGTCTGGCTGTTGCATAAAGCTGGTATTTTTAAAGGAGTCTGAGAAAAATCAGTGTATGGCACCTGTGGTCCCGTGGACTCTGCTGCCTTAGAGAAGTGAAAAGACAGCTGTTGATCATTTATTGAAAGTTCCTTTTTAAGATTAAATGGCATTTCTACTTTACAAAACCTAGGAAATAAGCATCTAACACAAAATACAGAAATACGTTCAAAAGATGTATAAATTTTTATTGAAACAAAATCATGCTATTTGTGGTATACTCCTGTTCACTGAATGGTTTTTTAACCAGAATCATTCAAAACTCCTGCTTAAGAAGTTCCTGTCACTGATAGGAGAGAGTCCTTTTCTTCAAATAATTTTCTACAAGTGTATACGAGTTTCATTTTAAAACTGACTTCAGTACATGTCTAAAACTGCCAACTAGATATAATACTGTCTACATAAAAGCAATCTCATTTTCTTTTTTAAAGGAGAAATGATCTTAATTTTGAAAGATTAGAAGCCCAACTTAAGGCATGCCACTGCAGGATCATATTTTCTAAGGCAAAGGTAAATATTTTATGAGATTACGCATAATCACAATGACCTATTTTTACTGTTGATTTTTACTTTATGTTTATCTTTTCAGCCTTCTGTGTTGGCATTGTCTATCCTTGCTTTGGAGATCCAAGCACTGAAGTATGTGGAGTTAACAGAGGGAATAGAGTGTATTCAAAAACATTCCAAGGTATGCCAACGTTGTAGCATCAATCCTATTTACCAGCTACAAATTTATCTACTATATATCTACAAATTTATCCGAAAATAAAATAATGTCATGTATTGATTAAAGCTTAAGTGGTTCTCCCCTCATGTTCTTTGGATGAGGAGGAAATATGGGATTAAATTTATTACTATAAATACAGTGGGGCTTTTATTATATGTTTTTTTAAATTTATGTACAGATAAATGGCCGAGATTTGACCTTCTGGCAAGAGCTTGTATCCAAGTGTTTAACTGAATATTCATCAAACAAGTGTTCTAAACCAAATGTTCAGAAGTTAAAATGGATTGTGTCTGGACGCACTGCACGGCAACTGAAGCACAGTTACTATAGAATTGCTCACCTCCCAACAATTCCTGAAACCATCTCTTAGTTGGTAAATCTGGTTGTTCTCTGTATACAGCTTCCAATGTGATAATTTTCTGTTCTAACTGAAGAATTGAAATACTCTCAATATAAACATGGGATTAAAATAGTAAAGGAAAAAATAACTGTTAATCTTGTTAGCGAACACTGAAAGATATTCACTGCATACAATGTACAGCAGTTTTAAAAGGGACTTAGCAAACCTCTAGATACATGGTAACACTTTTGTCAAATGATTAGCTCAAGAAAGAGAATCCTCCAAACCTAAATTTTAAAAGCAGTTACTGAAATAGCAGTTTTTAATTACATATCACCTCACTGAGGCTTAAAGTTACAGCCCAAGCAGAATGACAAAAAATGTGACCTATATATAAACAAATTTGAGTCTGTTCATTATGAAAGTGAAGTATGAACTTGGATGATGGACTTACAAAGTAATATAGGGGAGACAGTCTCTACATTAGATTTCTGGAAACTCCTGAGGTGTCTCAGTTCTACAGTTAGTATTTTACCTCTATCGCAGTCAGACTAATATAAATTATATGCATAAAGATATAAACTTGGTCTCTGATACATATACATTTTTGCCATCTAACTTTCTTAATCATAGCAAAAATTTGTCTTTTTATGATTAAAAAATAATGTTGCCAGGCATGGTAGTGAATGCCTTTAATCCCAGCACCTGGGAGGCAGAGGCAGGTGGGTGTCTATAATTTTGAAGCTAGCCTGCTCTACACAGTGAGTTCCAGGACAGCCAGAGACTACATAATAGACCCTGTAAAAACAAAAACATAAAGGAAAACAACAACCAAATAAAAAAATGTAAATGTTGCTGGGAAGATGTTCAGAAGGTAAGGGTGCCTGCCCCAAGCCTGACAACCTGACCCACACTACAGAAGGAAAACAAACTCCCACAAGTGCTTTGGCAAGTTCTTCTCTGACTTATGCACATGCCTCACAGCCCTGCAGTTAACATGTGATCATGCATCTTAGACATCACCTGTTCACCTTTAGCAGCTCACAGAATGTAGGCAGATTTCTGTTGACTTGGGTTTGTACTGTTTGCCTAAGCAGTAGGATTGCAGCAGCAGTTAACAAAAACTGTTCCTGCAGTTTTTCTCTGCCACTGATAAGATTTAAGCTAAGAAAGCTCACGTTAGCAAAATGATTTCAGCGTTAGGAAAACTTCTGATTCGAGGCTTGGTAGAGCTATGCTTAGATTTGAATTCACCCACGAAGCATTCAAATCCAGGCTAAAGACAAATGTGAAATAAAACTGTGAACCTTCATTTAAACCTTTATCTAACTTCCTAGATTGGATCAATATATGGTGTATTGAAAATGATAAACTACTTAATTTAAATCTCAGAATTTAAATTATGAGGTTTACAGCAAAATGAACATTTCACAAACGCACTTTTAAGGTATTTTAAGAGGTACTTAAGCAGTAAATGGTTTAAATGGTTTCTTGGCACCCATAACCAAGTAATAGCTAACTTAGAGGTGGGATTTTTTTTTTTTAATTGCTATATGAGAATTACATTTGCACTTGTGGGTGTTTTATATAAAGCAGATCTCACAAGTTTTGAAAATTTATTGTTACCTTTAATATTTCTTCTAGAGAATAGGTGGTTTGTATCTATAATAAAAGAAAAATTCTACAGATTTGCTGCCTCAATCTAGTCCCATTTCAGAAAATTTGTTTCTACTGCATTAATAACTGGATGAATTATCACTCTGAAAATTTATTAATTGCACTAAACTTAGTTCAGGCTTGATAAACACACTCTAGAAGTTTTTATCAGACTTTTTTTTATAATCTCTTAATGTAGACTATTGTTTTAAAAGAATGAATGTATTTGCAAAACTTCCCTTACTGTGTCTTAAAGGAAGTAAGGAGCCACATCCATAGTTATAAGACCACCATGGTTGTGTTCAGATTCTCCGTGCTGGCCTTGAATGTAGAGCTACACTGTTAAATTGTAGGCAGGTCCTCCGTGCACTGTGCAGCCTGAGTACCCAGAGTGGCTGTACCCATTTTGACATGTAATGGATAATGACATTTTCCACTGAGAAGCTGAAAAACAAACCAAAGAACCAGTGTATTTTATCCTTAACCTTTGTCAACCAGGTTTTAAGGATAACATTTCAGTTCTTCCTAAAGGCTGATTTGCTTCAAATTGAAAACAATGTTGATTTTGAGTGGACAGAAGCAAACTAACCAGCTATCATGTTATGAAGGAATATACCTTTCAATAAAATTATTGAAATGCAGCCCTTCCCTATGTGATTTTTTTATGATTTAAGTAGTTTAGCAATATTATAAAATAAGTTTTCTTTATATTTTATATTAATTTTACTAAAGTATGGTGCACAGAAGTAAAAACAGAATCTTTCAATAGTACAGTTATGAAGCTGGATATGGTGGCACATGCCTTTAAGCCTTTAATTCCAACACTGGGTCCAGCCTGGTCTTCATAGCAAGCTCCAGGCTAGCTACATGGTGAGACCCTATCTCAAAAAAAATAGTACCATCATCACCTAATTACTTCCTAATTTTTAAAAAAAACACAGGGTAAATATGTTTGTTAAATGTACACTAAAACACTGTATAATGCTTTGTTGTTAATCAGGTTTTCATTTAGACACACTACTGCTATGGCTGTTATTCATAATGAAAATTTACATGTGTGCTCCTTACTAAGCTTAAGTTGAGCATGGGTGAGAACATACCGGAACATAGGAAGCTTCTCAATGGGTGCAACCCTTCAGAAAACAATACCCTGTCCCAGGTAGTTTTATATCAGTTTTGATACAGGCCAAAGTCATTTTAGAAGAGGGAACCTCAAATGGGAAAATACCTCCTGTGGGTAAGTCATGAGGAACAAGCCAGTGAGCAGCATTCCTCCTGGGCCCCTGCATCTGACCCTGTCCTCCTCTCTTCCATGATGGGCAATCATGTGGAAGTGTAAGCACAATAAACCCTTTCTTCCCTAAGCTGCTTTTGGTCCTGGTGTTTTCTCTTAGAAATCCTAAGTAAAACACACCCCTTCCCCCAATCACACAGTCAATATTCCCTCAGATATGGGTGGGGCCTCAAGAACTCTTTTCCTTTCCAAAATGAAATGTTAATGGACCCAGTTTTTTACAACATTTAAAGAGTTATAAAGAGGGCATTGTGAGGAAATGACAATAACCTATTGTATTTAACACCATAAACTTGGACATCATAAACTCCCCTTTCCAAGTACTTGAACTTTATGTATTTCCAAATATAAGCCACACATATAATTACTATTTCTGCTCTAATATCTGTAGCCAGCACTGAGTCTTTGGTATACCTATAACTCACCTCACATAAGTCCTAAAGAGAATGATGTTATCAGTTAACAAATGTACCTTGTACATATGTGGTACTAGGGGATGACTTTAAAATTCAAGTACTTCTGACTCTAGAGCCTTTTGCTCTTAAGATTCTGCATATTCTGTCCCAAAAGATAACTAATCCATGTGAAATTTCACAATCTCCACAATTTAAACCATATTCTGTGTGCTATCATGATAGAATAGTATGTGGACTTTTTTAAAATAACAAAGTCATTTTTATCAAATGTGCCATCACAAAACAGCCTAACAGAATGTGCCATGTGTCTTACAGTGTTAACTGGGAAGCTTACACTTTTCCTAATCCAGAGCCAGATGATTTTTACATTAGTTCAATACATAGACATAGGAGCAATCAAAACTGCTACAGGATAATTCATAACCGAAGGTTATATAGTGATATACTATATTACTACTTAAAATATATTAAGCAATGCACAGCAACAAAAGGAGAAATCTTCAACTATACCTGGAAAACTAGATATTACTCTTGAAGATCCACAGAATTACTAGAAAATTAGTGATGATACAAAGCTGAAAACCAATAAATGAATAATAAGCATTGCATCCTAAACAGCATATAACCTTTCTAAGGTGAGTATGGAACATTCAATACAAGATAAATCTTGGGTCCTAAAAGCTAAAAAGCTGAAATCATATAAAATATGTTTGTTGAATAAAGTAGAAACATGTAACAGGTAAAATTCCAAGAACTTAAAAATGAAACTAGACTTTTGTGTTTCCAAGGATAAGCTCAAAACGGAAAGTTCTTTAAACTGAGTGAAAATGAATAGCACCATGTGTGGAATGGGCTAAATCAGTACTTGAAAAGCAAATTACAGTCACTGCATTTATTGACTCCAGTGGTCTTAAGAGCCAATTAAGATTCGAGTTTGAGAAAATGGGATGGAAGAAAATGTGAAACCCAACGGAACGGAGGAGAGAAAGCAACTGTAAACAGCTTACAACTGTCTACAGCTCTAGTTCCAGGGACTGTTAGGGCCTCTGTGAGCACTGCACATGTGGTACCTATTCATACACACAAAATGAAAAAAAAAAAAAAAGGTTAAACTATAAAAAAAAAAGTGATACATGTGACCAAGTTTGTGTGAGTGATTCTAACAAGCTAATTCAAAATGTAAAATTAGCACAATTTACCACTGTAAAAAGGAACCAAACTGAAGCAATTTTGAATAAAACTTCCATTTTGAATAGGGGTCAAGTGAAATAAAATGCAAATTCCCAAGAACTCCCTTGGTAACTGACACCTTGCTTGGCAGCAGTGATATACGTGGGTACCTGGCCTCCTGGTTGAGACAAGCTGAAACATGGACACTAGGAACGTCGACCTGCCACAGATGAATAATACAACCAATGGGAACGGGAGAAGTGTACCACCACAAACACATGCTCCTAAGGAAGTCCCCATCCCTACACCCTGATTGGAGGGATAACTCAGCACAGTTGTTTGTGCTTTTAGAGCTCAAAAACTCTGAAATATTCTGGATTGGGGTCGCAGCTCAGCTCCCAAGTCTGTTCTGTAGCCATGATTGATCAGTAGCCACCTGAATACAAGACATTTTCGTCATATGCTTAAATACTTACTAAGATGAACATTCAAGGATGCGGTCAGCTCCTGGGCCTGTGCTGCTGTCCCTGACTGGTCATTTTCTGCTGCCTAATTCAAATAAAGATCTTGCTTTGCTGAACTCCTGTGACAGGGTTGTTCTGGATTTTCGGACCCCAACATCACATTAACAAGAGGAAAGAAAATGAACAACTGATACAGAAACATCATCTGGAAATATTCATCACGCTTTCTTTTTTCTTTTCTTTTTGTTTTTGATTTTTCAAGACAGTGTTCCTCTATATGGCTCACTGGCTGTCTTGCTCTGTAGACCAGGCTGGCCTTGAAATACACCTGTGTCTTCAGAAGTACTGGGATTAAAGGCATGCAGCACCATACTTGCCTTCTACACCCTTTTAAGTTCAGGAACCTACAAATTAATAGTTGGGAAATTCAGCCTGATATAAAGGAAGTAGAGAAACTCTGCAGATAGCATTCCACATAATGATGAAAAGCAATATGCTCACAATCATATAGCAGAGCTGGTTCAGGGCTGGCTGATTTCTCTATTGTCTAGCCAGTAGAATCAGAAAAGATCAATAGGTTAATAGGTCTAATCTCAGCATTTGGGTGGAGGAAGGAAATCAGGAACTTAAGAACAGCTCAGCTACAAGTGATTTCAGGATCAGCTTGAGATTCCATCTCCAAAGCAAACAGACTAGGGTGAGGGGGTGACTACGGACTAGAAGGGGAAAATGAAACTGATTTACACAGAAAACTCAAGGAATCAAAAACAAAACAAACCCCACCAACAGAATACAAATTCCACAAATGAATCTGTGTACATGGGAATACTAAATTATAAATTCGATGGGCTTTAAATTGTTGCACCTAAAAATGAACACTGGAGAATAAAGACACACAGGATCTGTAAGCTGCTGGCATTCAGTGCTGGGCTTAGGCAGTGAAGACAGCTTCAACAGCCTCACACGTGGAATGTACTGATATGGAGATGGCTTTTGGTATGCTGTCAGTGTTGGAGGACCCTGCTGTTTGAGGTTGCAGTCCTCCCAGTCTGGATAGCCTTTCTGAGCTGGGTGCTAGATAGATGACTCCCTCTCCCCAGCAGGGCCTTCTACTCTCTGCCTGACCTCATTTGGAGAGTCTCATTAGGCACAGATGTCTCTAACCTTATCTGATTTATGACCTTTGGCACAGTTCCTGGCTAGCTCTCACCTCCTTGCATCTATGGAACAATTTAGGTACAGTGTTCCTGCTCCTATGACAGGACTGTGCTGTCACATGCGAATTAAACCATCACTGGAATCCCTAGCCTTAACTAATGTACACTATCCTGAAAACCACCCACCCACTCCACAAGGATTATAAAGCCTTTGTTCACTCAGAATAAAGTTGAATCATCTCCCTGAAATGAAAGTGGTTCCCTGAGGTCATTCAGTCATACTTGCAGCAAGCTGAGTTCCCGGTTCGTTGCCTCTGCTCCCTTGTTCCTGGGACCAGTGGACAATGAGCCACAGTCAAGTATATAGAGATTGGCGAAAAGCAGGCTACTAATGTAAGTTCTGAATATGCCACGAGAGAAAAACTAAAATAAACCTCACCGTTTCCAGTATGCATGCAGAGGTTTAACATGTGCACGATAAAAACACAACAGTGTTGACACACCATGCACATCTTGTTTCTGAAAGCATTCATCCACTAAAGAGAACTGGATTCTTAGACTGGGGCAAGGAGCGATTGACTGTGGAGAGTTGAAAGCTAATGGTGTGAGAACAAAGATTTAAAGTATTTCTCAAGAAATTGCTCAAAGATGTAAACATGCCAAAGGACACAGAAGCTACCTACACTGGTTTTACAATGGCCAAATTATATAACTGTAAGCATAAAGGTAATGAGAATAATTTTGTTTTTGTTTTTCAAGATAGGGGTTCTCTGTGTGGCCCTGGCTGTCCTGGATCTCTCTACAGACCAAGCTGACCTTGAACTCACAGAGATCCCACTGCCTCTGCCTCAGAAGTACTGGGATTAAAGGTATGTGCCAACACCACCAGGCTGAGAATAATTTTTAACCCACTAAGTAAAACAGTAAGCTCAAAGTATGGTTAAAACAGGAGGTACTTTAAAACTTTCCCACAAAACACCCAGAACTAGGTATTGCAGTGGAGAAATCCAGCAGATACCACCTTATTCACTGCTGTATGAAACATCACCAGCGTCAGCCACGGGGTGAAATTTTTTTTTTTTTTTTAATTTCTTTACCTTTGTTTTATGTGCATTGGAGTTTTGCCTGCATGTATGTCTACATTGAGAGTGTCAAGTCTTGGAGTTATAGACAGTTGTGAGCTGCCATGTAGGTGCTGAGATTTGAACCATGGTCCTCTGGAAGAGCAGTCAGTGCCCTTAACCATCTGACTGCTGAGCCATCTCTCCAGCCCAGGGTGAAATTCTTAGTTCATGACAGGATAGAGGAATATTGCAGACCATGGACCTCATCTGAACAAGCAACAGACAAAATTCCCATAATTTTCCAAAGTGCAAAAGCTACGTTAGGCACAGGTACATACCTGTAATCATTTGGCCTGGTAGCTGAGGCCAGCACATCACTAGTCAGAGGCCAGACTACTTGGTAAGACCTTGTCACAAAAACGTATCAAAACAGTAAAAGCCTAGGAAAAAATGGGAACATGTTCCAGACTGAAGTAAATGCCAGACCTCAGCTGGAGCGGCATGTCCTGGTTATAGGACTTTCTTATTTAAAGGGCATTGTTAGTAACAGTTCAGCATGAATGGCACAGGTCTAAACTGTAGCATCATGTCCATGTTGATCTTCTAACTTTAATGGCTGCATTGCTGAGAGCACTTACTTTTTACAATAAAAAAAATAAAGTCATATTGAGATGACAATATCAAACCAATTTATTTTTAAAAAACTAAGATTTTTAATGTTAATATTTCACCTCTAAGCTTTCTACACACTTCAAATTTTTTTTTTTTTTAAGAATTAAAAGACGGAGCTGGAGAGATGGTTCAGTGTTTAAGAGCACTGCCGGCTCTTCCAAAGGACCAGGGTTCAATTCCCAGCACCCACTTGGCAGCTCACAACTGTCTGTAATACCAATTCCAAAGTATCTGACACCTTCATACTAATGCACATAAAATAAAAGAATCACAAGATACAAAAAGGATGAAAGAGAAAAAAATTTTTTCTAGACAATCCTGTGTATCTGAATCAAATTAAAACACTTATATTCCCTTACACTCAGGAGCCTAAATTTTTTTTTCTGATTTTTCGAGTCAGAGGTCACTCTGTAGACCAGGCTGGCCTCGAAATCACAGAAATCTGCCTGCCTCTGCCTCTGAAGTGCTGGGATTAAAGACGTTTGTCACCACCGCCCAGCCTAAATTGGGTTTTTAACACTAACAGGTTATTTTAGGGTTTTACAAATTTTTCAATTTCTTGACATAATCACATAGGCTACACCACAGCAGTTAGACTATTTCACTAACTCAAGCTACCCAAAGTACTTCTGTGTATTTTTTTTTTCTTTCTTAAAATGTTTCCAGTACGGTACTTTCCTTGTATGAAGTAGCATTTTTAGACAAAGGGGTACACAATTACTTGGAAGTTTACTGAACATTATTTCTGCATAACACCAAGAAAAAAAATTTATTTTTTTTCATGAAGGCACCTTTTCATTTCACATGATTTATACTCCAATGTTTTTGTAGTAAAAATACAATTAAATATGAAATTAGTCAAATGTAGCATATAAAACTTAATGCAGAGCAATAAAAGTTACCATCTATCCACAGGACATCCGCTGTTTCTCCTATGTAAATCTTATCTGAATGTAATTGTTTACAACCATACTGAAATACACTTTGCAATCTGTTAACTGTAGATATCCGTATTTTTCATCCTCCATGTCTGCTGTGATCCACAAGACAGAGCAACTAAAGAACAGCAGTCATTTCTCAAGGTTTGAGAAGTCTGGTCCACCCTTTGTGTAGTTCCCTGAAATTTCTGCTCCACTAAAGTCAAAACCAGGATTCTGAAAGATATAAGATAATAAAACTTATAAGGAGAAGTTGAATTCACAATTGAACAAAAAGAAAAAAAAAGTTAAATATTTGATAAAAGATATCAAACTTCACTATAATCACCTACCGTGCCTAAAAGGCACCTTTCAACTTTCAGATCTGAGGATATGCATACGACAATGCTAGTGACTGTATAGTGAAACATACATCCCAATTTCACTATTTATAAACAAATTTTAAAAGCTTTTTTTTTTTTTTCTGGTGGGCATATTAAGGATTGAACACAGAGTCCCCTGCAAACTACGCAGGCGCTCTGCGCTGAGCTATAACTTTTAAACTTGATTTTTTATTCTTCTGAGACACGGTGTAGCTATGCTACCCAGGCTGGCCTTGAACTTGCAGTTCTCTTGTCTCATCCTCCCAAGTGGATGGAATTAAAGGTAAGCATAGCTAATACAGCATTTTCTTAACCTTACTATATGCCTTGCAGTGTTCTAAGAGCAGCATATTGATACATATTACATATTATGAAGTACTGACTCAAGCTTTAGACTTTTTTAGGGGGAGATTTCATTTGTTTAATGGGCATTTTTTTTGAGGTCCTACTTTCTGGAAAATATCATTTAAATACATGTGGATTTCAAAAGTAAACAAAGTAAAGACCACTGTTCTAGAGAAGTGTACATTGTAACAAAAAACCACAAATAACAAACAAAAACACAAACATCAAACAGAGCTTATTAAGTTTGACTTGTACAGTCTGACAGTAAGCACTTTAGATTTTGTAGACTACACGACCTCTGTTATAAACACTCAATTACAAGAAACTGCTATAAAAACCGTGTAAGATAACACGGTAATGAGTAAGCAAAGGTATGTCTCTGTACCTGCAGAGACATGCAGCAGGCTAAGTTTCCCCAGGCTACATTTTGCCAACTACTGACTTAGTGTGGTAAAGCTTTTAAGTGCTATAAAAAAGATAAATAGAAAGTATGGAAGACGAAAGAAACAGGAGAGAAAATTATAGACTTTAACGGGATAGTCAAAATGTCATTAACTATATAATGAGCTGAAAACTACCGGAGAAGAAACATTCCAGTCAGAATCAGGGAAGAGCCAGGCACATTGGCTCACACCTTTAATCCCAGTGCTTGGGAGAGAGATCTCTGTGAGTTCAAGGCCAACTTCATCTATATAGCAAGTTCCAGTCCAGCCAGAGCTATACAGTCTCAAACAAACAAACAAGCAGAGAAACAAAAACAAAACAAAAAAAGGAAGGGTAGGTAAGATAGTAACTGATCAATTATCCTAAGTTTAGGGATAAAAATGGAGCAGAGATTGAGGGAATGACAAACCAATGATAAGCCCAACTTGAGATGCAACCCATGGGACAGAGCCAACCCCTGACACTATTAATGATACTCTGCTATGTTTGCAGACAAGAGACTAGCATTAACCGCCTTCTGAGAGGCTTCATCCAGCAGCTGAAGGAAACAGATACAGAGACCCACAGCCAAACAACAGGGAGTACTCAGGGAGTTTTACGGAGGAGTGGAAGAAAAATAGAGGGAGTGTGAGGTGTCAAGGACACCACAAGACCTACAGAGGGACCTAACCTGGGCCATCGTGGCTCAGAGACTGAACCACCAACCAAAGAGCTGGATCTAGACCCCCTATACACATGTAGATGTGCAAGTTGGTCTTCATGTGGTTCCCCTAACAATGGGAGTAGAGACTGTCTCTGACTCTGTTACCTGCCTTTGGGTCCCTTTTCCCTAGCTGGGCTGACTTGTCTGTCCTCAGTGCGAGAAGATACACTTAGCTCTGCTGAGACTTGATGTGTCAGGCTAGGTTGCTACCCATGGGGAGCTCCCCTTACCTAAGAAGGGAAGGTGTTAGTGGGGAGGGGAAAAAGGGCAGGACTTGGAGGAGAGGAAGGAGGGGGCTGGAATTAAGCTATACAGTAATTAAATAAATAAATGGAAAAAAGATTTAAGATAGATAAAAAAATAAAAATAAAATTATTTCATCATATATTACAAATAAAAGAGACAGAGAGAGAACAACTTGGAAGATTCTGAGGAGAAAAAGGCATTGCTCTGACTTGCACTATAAAAGACTTCTTTAATTGCTACTTTAAGGTGACTGCTTGGAAGCCAGGTGCAGTGGTGCAAGCCTGTAATCCCAGCACTCAGGAGGCACAGGCAGGTGGATCTCTGTGAGTTGAGGCCAGCCTGGTCTACAAAGTGAGTCCCGAACAGCCAAGGTAGGCTACAGAGAAACTCTATGTTGAAAAACTGGAGGGGGGTGGTGGTGGGAAGAGATGACTGCTTGGCTGCTTGGGCAAGAGTCCAGGAGGCTAGTCAGAAATTTATTGAAGTAATCTAGACAAGAGTACTAGCAGATTGGGCAGCGTAAAGTGGTAAAATTTTGAATGTGTGAGGAAGACAATACTAACAAGGTTTCCTAAGAGTTGCCTGGTGGCTATGCAGGCTGGTGTGTAGGACTAACATCATGTCAGTTGTCTTCTTCAATTGCTTTCCACACTTCACTTACTTAGGCAGAGTGTCTCAAGCCTAGTGCTTCTAAACTCTAGGTAGTCTAGACAGGAAGCTTGCCCCAGAGAGCCTTTTCCTCAGCTTCAGTAGTGCTGGGATCAAAGGCAGCCATTACATCTCTTGAGCTTTTGTACAGATTCTGGGGATTCTCCAGGAGGCTTCTGGTCCTCATGCTTGCATGGCAAGTGCCATATGCACTGGGCCATCTCTGACCACCCCTGCCCATCACTGCTAATTATGAACAACTAGTTTCCATTAACTAATATGAAAAACAGAAAAAAATATAGGTGCTGAAATCAGTTTGTTCACTTTGAACATGTCAAGTCTGACAGACAGATAAATGGTTATGTTCATTAAATAACTGGACATGCAAACTAAAAATTTACAAGGAAAAGTCCAGGTTAAATACACTTGGAAGTGGGCATGATACAGATGGAAATTATTCACTAGAATTCTGAAAGTCTAGTGGTTAAGTAATTCATCTCCCCAATATCTATCCTGAAACATTTAAGCAGTTTCAGAGGTGAATGTATAAGCTTGTTTAAAATAGAGGGGAAAAAAAAAGGATGTTAAAACAATATCAAAGTGAAATAGCTAGATAAATATTCTCCGTATGAGAGAACCAAAGCTATTAGAAGGAATGGGTACTAGTTGTATGTAAAATTAGGGGAAGAGGCCAACGATATATTATTAAAAAAATAAAGCATCATGAAAATAATGTTTGAACCTTCACTTATGCTAAAAATCAAACTGACAAGAAGATCAATTAATGAGAGAGGCATGATGTGGAGGAATCAAATGACGGGACCCTGCCTTTTTATACATGTATACACTACCTTTTCAACTTTTTAGGTTCATTACTCATGAATCACTGATGAGCATTCAACAATCTTAAATCTCATAGCAATGCATATATTTGTGAAATTTAAAATCAACATAATAGGCTACTTTCTAGCCACTCACGTTAAAGTTCACTCAAAAGGTTTTTACAACTTAGTATCCCGCTTTATGAATACCAGAGTTTGAGTCCTGTAACTGTGACACACTCATTCCTGCATTTGACTTACTTCTTTCTGAAATCGCTCTAAGGTGAGCTTCCTCTGCATTTGATCTTGTACCCAGGGGTCAGCTGCATATTCAGATTCCAGAAGAGAAGTCCAACAGTTTGCAGCATCTCTCTTGGTCTTTGTCAGGACAATGCGGACCATTTTTCTATCCTCTAAGATAAAAGAACAAGTTATAGAGAAATTATAGTTCATCATTAAACCTTATATTTCCCAAGACTGTCAGGTAATTGTGATATGCAAGTGTTCCCAACACATTTCCCCATTTTTTCACAGCTACAAAAACAAGACTTAATACAAAGAAGAAATACCACCACGATACAATTTTTAAAAGTTTGGGAATCATAACAGATTATTCTTACCCAAAGTCCAGGTTCCTTCATCAGCGATTGTAGAATCAAACAATTTCCCCTGGAAAATAAATATAAGGTACTAAAATTACAGAATTTCAAAGTTTTATAAATTCTCATCATCAAGATTTGGCTCATTTCAAGCTAAGGTACAGGTTATAGCAGTTCCCCCTATTTGTAGGCACTCAACCTTGAACTACTCCTACTGAGTGAAAGGGAGTCCAGTTTACAAAATTTGAAAACTTTACCATACAAAAGATCAAAGGACCCTTTAAACAAAACAGATGAAAACATACTACTACTTACTGATAAAGAGTAAATGTAAAATTTATGTATAAAATGTTTTACCAAGTAAAATGAACAAGACAGGGACTTCTGCTGAAACCAGAAAAAAAGTGTTCTGTTTATTTTTTGGTTCTCTTTCTAGTTTTTGGTGGGGGAAGTGTAGTGAGACAGGGTTTCTCTGTGTAGCTTTAGCTGCTGGGGAACTTGCTCTATAGACCAGGGTGGCCTCACTGAACTCACAGAGATCTGCCTGTCTCTGCCTCCTGAGTGCTGGGATTAAAGGCCAAAACCACCACCCAGTAACTTTTTTTCTTGAAGTAAGGTCTCTCTGTCAGCAGTTCTCAATCTGTGTGTCTCAACCCCTTTGGAAGGGGGGGGGGAGGTAACATATCAGATATCCTACATATCAAATATGTAATCTAATGTAAATACATTAGATTCGTTACAGCAAACTTACACTCATGGAAGTGTCGACGAAAATAGTTTTATGGCTGGGACTCATCGCAACATCATGAGTAACTTGATTAAAGGGTCACAGCATTAGGAAGATTGAGAACCACTGTTCTATAAAGTCCTGAAGCTCACTATATAGATCTGGCTGGCTGGCCTCAAATTCAAGGAGATCCCAAATACTGGGATTCAAGACTTGTGCCACAAAGCCAGCCTTAAGACTGCTATCTTTTAAAGTCAACGTTATTAAAGCCAGTTCAATCTCTTTTGGGAAGCTGGCACTAGGCAAAGCCAATTTCTTAAGAAAAATTTCATCAGATATTGAAGATTTGATGTCTAGTTAGATGTGACTTATTTTTCATCTCCTCCTGCCCAAGGTTACAAAACGAGGCACCATGTCTCCCTTCCCCACTACACTACATGGCTATCTAACAGGCCAGGCCTCCAAACTAGAGGTGAAATATAGTCTGATTGTTACCTGAGTTTGAATAAATTCTTAACAACAACAACTAAAAAAGGTATGGGCCAGATTAAATCCATTAGTGAAATCAAATAAAAGGGTCAATATTTTCTTCAGACACGTTTTCATTAACTTGATGATCAAGATCCAAGAAACTTGTATTTGGAAAACCGACATCTTTGAATCCTCATCCCATTACCCTATCCTTGTTAGCAATTTCCTGGATCTGCCTACACATCCTGAATACAGTTCAGAAACCTTTGGCCTAGTTATCTGGGACTCTTCGACCTATAGTTAGCCTTCTATCAGCAGAGGAACCAAGAGGAATTAGAAGCAAACCAAATCTGTTTTAGAAACAAAGGGTAAAACAAAATCGTTACACTTCTGCTCGCGAAAGATCTGCGCTGGGAGAGGGCGAGGGTGCTGCGATGAAACCCCCCACCCCCTACGTCAATTCACCGCTTCTTTCTGCCAGCCAGGCACTAACCTTGGCACCCAGCAGTTATCCCTCTGAAACAGTGATATTTTAGGACTCAGGCTGCAGGGAGGCCAGAAGAAGGAACTCGGGACAAGCCCTGGCTGGCTACCTTGAGGATCTCGCGGCCACCCACGGACAGAGCAACGTGCCGGCTCTGCAGGCCGCACTGGATGTCCTGCGCGCGAGTGCCCGGGGGCACCTGGACTTCAATGAACACCTCCTCCAGAGTCTGGTACCACTGTCCCCACGGCGTCCCGCAGGGAACTACCCCACTACGCTCCTCAAACGGGGCAGACATCCTCCAGAAGCCGCACAGGGACAGCCCTCCGCCAGAGCTCGGCACCGGGAGGATGCGACTCCGGCTTTGCCCTCGGCGCCTTGGGGGGGTCACTGCACATGCGCAAGAGTCCAAACCGGCGTGTAGGAGTGTGCCCAGTGTTCCCTTTCAGAAGCCATTCAAGACAGTCGCGAGACCTGGTGTGAGAGAACCGAAGCCCAGAGATGTGGACACCCCGAGAACGGTGACGCCGGGACAAAGGAGGCAGAAGCCCTGGACCCTTTAACCTGTGTGACGCCAAAATAAGAACGCTAAGACGGGCCACCGTGCAGTGCGCTTGCGCGGACTGGGCTGCCCCCGGAACGTTGAGTAACACCAGACGTGATTGGATGCAGGTGTAGCTGCGGCGGACAGAAACAGTCCTTTATTGGCTACCGCCTTAAACTTACACACCTCCCGATTGGGCGCGGGAGAAGCGTAGTGCGCCTGCGCCTTGGCCCATGCGGGATTGGTCAGCTAGCTTCAGGTTTTCTGATTGGCTGACGCGGGGGGAAGTTGGGGTAAATTTGAATCCAGGCGAGCAGACAGTTGCAGAGGTGGTTGGTTGCTTTCACGTCGGTCTGGACCCGGGTGTCAGAATGTCTTTTCCTAAGGCGCCCCTGAAAAGATTCAATGACCCGTCGGGTGCGTACGGGTGCCGGAGCAGGGTGGGAAGGGGATGCCCCCTCTTTTCCTCAACCGTCCGGAAGCCAGATCAGGGCTGGGGTGCTGTTTCCCTTCAAATTCACGCGAGTGAACTCAGTCCCTCCCCCACACAGGCAGCCTGCAGGCGTGAAATTCTCCCAGGAAGCCGTCAGCACCGTGGAGAAACTACAGCTGGTTGCGGGGTGGGGGTGGGGGGGGCAGGGGAGGAGGTTGGGAGTTGGCGGGTATTACGTACTTAAAAAAAAAAATGTTACTTTCGTTATCATCTTTTTTGTCATTATGTACAATTGTAAAAGCATGAAGACTGAGTAATTAGTTAAGTAATAACAGCTGTCCTAGGGTTTCTTTTTCCACTCTTGAAACCATCCTTAAGAAATACTCAGTTATTTTAAAGATGAAACACTATAACTTGATTTGTACATGGCATAGTAATTTTAGTGTAGATGGTGGTACTGTCCAAAAGGTTAGAATAAAGTAATTTTTACACACGCCTCTAATCCCAGCATTTGGGAGGCAGGAGGATCTCTGTGAGTTCTAAGCCAGCCTGGTCTACAAAATGAGATCCAGGACAGCCAGGGCTACACACAGAGAAACCCTGTCTCAAAACAAAAGAAAGAGAGAAAGGGAGGAAGGAGAGAGAGAGACAGAAAAATAAATAGATGTTTCCAGGCCCAGTGGCCTGTGCTGCAGTTTTTATAAACTGTTATAAAATTAAATTGACAGAATTTAATTGACAGCCTCCTATGGATACAACCTGTGCTCTTAACCACTGTGGTGTATGTGCACAGTAACTAAGAGCCTTGGATAGTGATAGATGCTAACAGTACAACTGTACTGTTGTAAGGTCAGGAACGTAGGCTTTGAGCAGCCAGATGACCAAAGTACTCCAAAGGCCATTGTATGTCCTCTGTGATATATTGTGTTAATAGTCAGTACTCCATCTTTTGATTTCTGTCAACAGCACTGTATGCACAAGGTCAAGTGAATGATTAGATTAATCCAGCTCAAGGGCAGCACCCTTCCCAAGATTTTCAAATAATTTAGGTTCTACAGAGGAGGGAGGACTCTTGTTTTTTTTTGGAGAGAGGGTTTCATGTAGCCCAGGCTAGCCTTGAGCTCCAGCTGCTACCTCCCAAGGACTGACACTTAAGAGAACTGCACCACCACGCATGGCTCAGCTGCTGTTTGGTTTTAAGGAGCAATAGTTAAGACTTACAGTTTCAAGAATAACATTTGCCAGATGTTGTGTGTCAGTAGCAGCAGCTTCTAATCCCGTAATCTTCAAATCCTTTAAGGAAACTTAAGTATCCCAGGAAAAAAGGAAGGATTCTAATGTTTTGTGTTCACTGTGCTCTCCATATTTCTGCAAAGTATCTGGCACAGTATTTTCTGTATATTGTCAGACACAGTTGGCTAATTACAAAAGCATAGTCCATCCCACATCTCAAACAAGTTTGTTTTCTATACTGCTTAACACAACCATGAGCTAAATACTGAAGCCTTAGAAGCTGCTCTCTAATTGAAGAAGTTTTGTCTGGTGTGGAGATAGAATAAATAAATCCTTAAGAAACCATAAGAAGTTATTTGTTAGGAAAGATAGAAGGTGCTATGAGAATTTTCTGATTTTGGGACTCTGATAAAGCTAGAGGTAATATCCAGATTGAGTTCTGGAAAGTAAATGAGAACTGGCTGAACAAAATTGGAAGTCGACTATAAACTCTAAATGGCTGACAAGAAAATACAAAAGTCTGGGAGTTTGAGGCTGTATTTAATGTAATAAAACCCTCATTTGGCCCATTATGTTATTAGCTGATTTTATTGTATTAAGTGAGAAAAAATTTTATGTCTAAAAAATTCAAACCTATGTGGACACCAAAGAGATGAAATGGGCACATTTAAAAGTGCCTTCAAATAGTCTACATTTCTTAGCTGCACCTGTGCTGTCACTTGGCTGATTTTCAGTGTTCAAGTCTAGGTCTACATGCATAAGAAAGCCAGGAACATATTTGTATAAAGCACATAGTCTCTTGTATTTACTTTATAAAATGACAAAATTCTGAGGTCCAAAATTTTATTCATCCCACCTGCTTCTTTTCTTGTGGCTAAAATAAAATGGGAGAGAGTGTTTGTCTCAGACAGCCTGGCTTTTACTGCACTGACAAGCTCTTATTGATGCTACTGTTTTCCATTCAAAATATAGAAAACGGGCTTATTCTCCCTTACTCTCTGCTTCTGAGAGATGCTTCTGTGGAAAAGCTTGAGTAATACAGTTTTCAACTTGACAAGGTTAAAAACAACAACAACTTTGAAGCATTTTGAATGGTAGTACCCTAATCTTATCACCTGGCACATACTTTGAAAGAGGAAAATGTGCTAGATAAAGGAAGGCCCAGTGAGGCTAGATGTCATGCTGCATGTGATCTAAGCATCCTGGAAGCTGGTGGGGAGAGGATCATGGAGTCAAGCCTGGAGTGTGCAGTGAGTTCAGGGTGAACCTGAGCTACATAGTGGAGCTCTGTGAAGGGAGACCAAGACAGGGAAGAAAGAATATTAAGTAAAGAAATCACAGTCTATCTGGAACAATTTATAATAATTCATCAACAATGACTGACAATAGACTCAGACTGTCAGCATTTGCATTCCTGTGTGTGGGGTGGAGTGGAAGAGTTTATTTGGCTCCCAGGTTAGAGTCGATTCTCAAGGCAGAGACTGAACGAAGCAAAGGTGGAGTTCTGCTTACTGGCTTGCTTTGCTTGGCATGCTTTGTTATGCAACCCAGGACCACCAGTCCAGCGGTAGACTACCGACAGGCCCATCTGATGAAAGCAGTTCCTCAGTTACTTCTTCTTCCAATGTGTATAACCAGTGGTTCTCAGCCTGTGAGTCTTGACCCCTTCGAGGCCCAATGACCCTTTCACAGGGATCGCATATTATATACATTATAATTCGTGGCAGTAACATAATAACAGTTACAAAGTTGTAATGGAAATAGGTTATGGTTGAGGGTCACCACAACATGAACTATATATTAAAGGGTTGCAGCGTTAGAGAGCTTGAAAACCACTGGTTTAACTTAAGATCATAGATACTTATCATAGGCATTGCTAATATGATAATAGTATTAATAAGATTAAGTGATACATTGCTATTTTGTGTTTTCTGTAGGTTGTGCTCCATCTCCAGGTGCTTATGATGTTAAAACTTCAGAAGTATCTAAAGGACCGGTGTCTTTTCAGAAATCACAAAGATTTAAAAACCAAAGAGGTAATGGATCATTAAACAATGGTCAAACAGCCTTATAACCTAACATGATAGACAACACTATTGGAATTTTAAAATGCTTTTGCCTAGAGTTTCATGGTCCGGGGTATATTTTAATATCCTTATTTGGTATATTTGTGAAAGAATCAAGTACAGAATGATGTATATCACAAGGGAAATTAAGCAAGGTATTTACAGATAGTTTCCCTTTTGATAATTGCTTATTCTTTCTGTCAGAATATGGGACGATGAAGAAAGGGGTGGAGCGCTAACTCGGTACTTGGAACACATATTGCCCCTGCAGAGGGCCTGAGTTGTAACTGGCAGTCAAGTGCACATAGCCCCAAACAGACACATACACAAGTTTATGTTTTTGAAAATAAAAAAAAAATATCAGGAAGGTTGTAGGTTCCTTAACAAATAATTGTGCAAATAATTATTTGAAATGTACAATCTAAAAGAAAGCTTACCATGCTTCAATTACTGTCTGCAGTGAGAAGTTTGGAAATTTCATTGTATTTGGTTAAAACATGTAAATATCAATGGTTATGTAGATTTATTTTTTTTTTTTTTTTTGCAGAATCTCTACAAAATCCTCACATTGACAAAGATTCTACCTTGCTTGCTTCCACTAAAAAAGCAAAGACTTTGGTGTCAAAGGTGAGAACCACTTGTAAGACAACTGTTATATTCATTCCATCATTGACTATCTAACTGCAAGATACTGTATTTGATCAAAATGGCTAAGTGTGAACTCAAATTTATAAGTAAGCTGGCCTAGAAAGTTAGCTGCACAGGAGTAGTTGTTGTTCTTCAGGAGATCTGACTTCAGGTCCCAGCACCAGGAGCTGCAGTTAAAAATCTATTAATTAATGAAATAAGTATCATTAGAATTCTATCAGGTTTTACGTTCTGCCTGTGTTATTAGTAAGTCTCTTTAAATGTGCTTTTAGTTCACAGTCACAAAGCCAATTCTTAGCTGGGCATGGTAGCACACACCTAAAATCCTCGAAGGCGGAGGCAGGCAGGTTTTTGTGAGTTTGAGACCAGCCCAGTCTACAAAGCCAGTATACGACAGCCAAGGCTACACAGAGGAACCCTGTCTCCAAGGGAGGAAAGCCATTTCTTTAAATTATAGAGATAAATCTGATAATTACATAAGGTTTTACAAACATGCCATGCTTTTTTTTTATTATCCCATTGGAATTGCTATATTTGTTTGTTGTTTGTCTGCTTTTTTGTGGGGAAGGATAAGTATTGGTGAAAAAAAGAGAAAAATAAAAATGTCAATGACTAACAGGAGGTTACTCAAACTGTTGAGCAGTAGTAGATTAAATTCTTCATAACAGAACTGACAATGGTGGCATAGGCC